TATATATATATATGTATGTATATTTGTGTGTGTAGAGGGTTCAAACGACACCGGTGTAATTTTTACTAAGTGTTACACTGCTCAATAACTTTATGATCTAGGAGATATGAACTTTCAATCTAACAGTTGGATTTTCAAAATTCACATTTAATATAAATTTATTGAGCGGTGTAACACTTAGTAAAAGTTATACCGGTGTCATTTGAACCCTCCTCTATATATATATATATAGAAGATGATTATAATAACATCGGTGTAACTTTTACTAAGTATTACACTGTTCAATAACTTTATATTAAATGTGAATTTTGTAAATTTAACTGTTAAATCGAAAGTTCTTTACTCTTAGATCATATATACAAAATTTTATATTAATCTAAGATGATTTGATACTATATTATTATAAAACAAAATTGACATAATATATATTTCAACATATATTAAAATATGAACGTTTTGATTACCTTCAAGTTGTTGTTCAATTTTAACAAAATTTGATATAAATATATAAAGTGTTATGAACTTTCAATCTAATGGTTGAATTTACAAAATTCACATTTAATATAAATTTATTGAGTGATGTAATACTTAGTAAAAATTATATTGATTTTATTATAACATTCCTCATATAGATAATATGTTTATTTCTTTATATTAACATAATATTTTAACACACAAAAAATAAAAAAAAAACTATTATTTATTTCATAAATGTAACAAAAAAACTTAAGATGTTATAATAAGCATGTTTGTGTATTATATAATCTAAAATACTAGTAAACATTTAAAAAAAGAAAAATATATTTTAATTAAAAAATACATTATAATAACTAATGAGTAAAACACATTTCGTGTCTTTCTTTAAATATATACATATTAGCAGAGGTGGTCAACAGCTATCAAAAGATTCAAATAAAAAAATTATATATTAAAAGATTTTTCGGACCTATTTTAATTATTGTTATACAACTTTTTAAGAGGTTAAAATGTTAAAATAACATGAACACCAAAATAAAAAACCGTTTTTATATATAAAAGAGATTAATGAAAGATATAATAAAAAAATATTTAATGTTACATAACATTGTAAAAAGATAATCAAATTTTAAACAAACAAAAATTATTAAATCATCAAACAAAATAAAAAGGAAGAGTATTTCAATATTAAAACTTTTGTCAAGGTATAAAATGTTATCCAATCGAACACTAGTGCAACCTTTTGAGATTTTACTTTTTAGAATGCAAAGATTATTCCTATTAATAAAAAGTAAAAACGAAGACAGAGACAATCGCCAATCCTTGATATGCTTATTATTTTCCAAATAAACTAATTAATTTCACAGGATATGATTTATATCACATTTATATTTACGCGATCGCCTAGAATTTCCTATGTGCTACGTCACAGAGACAGAGACAACACCAGCCTCACCACTCACCAAGTAATAACTAACAACTATTTAGTGTCCGTAACTCGGGTTAGGTTAACTAACCATGGTTATTAAATGCCAGTTGGGAGACATGGGACTTGAAGTTAAGACCGCAAAATAATGCAACGATCAAGGTCACACACTCTGACACGCATTACGCACCGCAATGCATACGTGAGGACCAGACGAGACAACGCGCGCACCCGATCCAAACTCCAAACCTTCCTCACTTTCCATCTTACACACTTTTTCACACTCAACACGTTCCAATGCTAAGAGACCAATGCGTTGGTTCCGTAAGCGCCAGGCACAGCGCCACCGCTATCGCCACCGTCTCCAACAAAGTTCTGGTGGCCGTCAAGGCGGAGAAGGTCATCTCCAACACCGCATTAGCCTGGGCTCTCACTCATGTCGTTCACTCCAGCGACTGCATAACGCTTCTCGCCGTTTACTGTCCTCGCAAAACCGGTACCTATATAATTGCCGTTTACTTCGCTCAATTAAATTCAATTTTAATCGGAAAATTGAAGCGTCAATTCTTAGGATAAAAAACTTATATGCACCTGTTACATGTTTTGATGTCATTTTCGGATCGGAATTTCACGTCGTGTAATAATAATTTGGATTAAAAGTCAACACAGATTTTCAAGGTGAAATTTCGATTCTAACTGAAATATAACACCATATGTATTCATGAAATTGTAGTTCTGATTCATGTTGATTCAATTGGCAATTGGCATAGAGTATTTGAAATAATTATGCGTGGATGTGGATTGTTGCAGGCAGAAGGTTCTGGAACTTTTCGAGACTTGGCGGAGACTGCACGAACGGAGCGGCGAGGAAGTTGCCGGAGCAAATTTCCGATATCTCCGAGTCTTGTGCTCAGATGGTGCTTCAGTTGAACAATCAAATTGAGGTAATTAACTTTGAAATTTACCTCAACTGAAATTATGAAACTATATAATATATAATTTACTACTTTCGGATTTTCTGTATATGATTTCGGAGTATCAGATTTAAAATTTATAGGAAATTATAATGTTAATCTTAAAATTGACAAATTGTGCAGTCGTATAAACCGCAAACCCGTACCCGCTGTCACTGGTAGTTTCCTCCACCTTTCTCTTTCAAGTGGTTGCCACGATATACTTAACGTTTAGTGTGACAAAAACGACTTCATTTTCTACCCGGTTTTTAATAACTTGATCAATCAGTTGTTAATCAATTTATTTTTCCGTTTTTTTTATAAAAAAAAGCTTATGACTTCATGACCGTATTCGCGCTGTCGTTTGTCTCATTCTTTTTCTGTTGGTGGACCTAGACGTGTACTTCGAACACATAATGTTATTATGTTTGCATTGCAAGCAAAATATAGAAACAGACAAGAATTAATAAATGAAAAAAAATAGAGTAGTTAAAACTATTATTTTTTTTTATGAATATTAGTGGAATCAAAAGACTATATTTTGAACAGAAAAAAAGTGGTGTCTCTCTTAAAAAAAATTATAAAAAAAAGAGAGTTACCCGTAACTATTCACTTTTAAGGATAAAAAAAAATGGAAACCAATTATAAGAAATCGCTAGTGAAACACCGAAACTTAAGTAGTTAAAATGAATAAGCAGCTTTATATGTTGGTATATATAAATAAATGGAGGAACCGAGGAAGTATTGAATTTTTTTTCCTATTTATTAAGATATAAGAAGAAAAATGAATAAAATTTTGATATTTAATAATTTATTTTCCTTCATACAAAATCATTTTTATATTATAAAATGATTTTATTTTAAAATAAAACGAAAATTTAAATACAATAAAAAGTTCTTTCATTTTGCTTTTTGTCATAGACAATCAGTCAAACTTTTGTATTTTCATTTAATTTTAGTCATCTCTATATTCTTGTTTACTATTTAAACTCAAACAAGCACAAAATAAAAGTATGAAAAACTATTATGCTGATTATTTTATATATTATATATTTTGTGTCAAATCTATATCAATAATTTTTGCTAATAATTTGTCCATTTTTTATTTCAATCATTTAAAATGTGTCTATACTCTCTATATATTTTATTCTTCTTCACCAAAAAAGACAATGTTGTGTCCTCAATTTTGCTTTTCAGTAACATGTCAGAGTTGAGGAAGTTTCTGATCTCTTCCTAGTTGTACCGGCTTGACTGTAGTTTGTTCGATTCATGTATGCTTTTGAAGTCTTGTCTTTATAATAAAGTCTATGATTTCTAAATAATTGCACATGCATAAAGCTCGGCATAACCAACTACACAAAAATAAGTTAAACAATGTTTGTCTATGTATGGTAAAGAAAAAGGGGAAAAGTTTTTTATATTTATATATGCGTTAAAAGCAAAGATTTGACCGTTATTGACAGTAAATAGTTAGTTGTAGTTAGTTTTATCACTGAATTTACACAAATAAAAAATAAGCTTTATTACTGAATGAGACTACACTCCTGATATGTCGGTAAGCTCCAACATGATCGATCGGTTGATAACTGGATTATTTTAAGTAGACTGATATTTGATTCTCTGACTAAGTATATGGAAAAGACTTTATTATAGAAAAAAACAACTCATTTATCTATAAAAATAATTAATTTTTGACTATCAACTAAAAGATATATTTGGCTCACAGAAAAACAAAATCTCTATATATGTAACTCTATGAACACAATTAGATGGAAAAAAAATTGTGATCAAATATTTTGCTCTCAAATTTCTTTACTTTTAGATCTATAAGCTCACTATGACTTCTAGAATTGAATTTCAAGATCTCAATTCTCTCTACAAACATTCACTACCCCAAACTCCATTAAGCTCGATGATGAAAACTTCTTAATCTGGTAGCAGCAAGAGCTTGCAACAATTCGTGGTTTGAAGCTCATCAAGTATTGAAGTGTATATATAATAGGTGATACAATCACCAAAATGTATCTCAGCTCTGAACATGAAGAAATTGATGATGTTGGTGATAATTATCAGAATTATGAGCAACCAGATGAGTTACCCATGGCTTGGCTAATTGATTCAAAGTCAAAACCAATATTCACAACCAACGTTTTCACATTAAATTTTGAAAAGATTGAAAGTCTATTTTGCATCGCAAAGAAGAACTAAATTCAAGAAACTCAAGCTGCAATTGCAAATGAATATTCACAAAAATATCCACAATTGGGTTTTTTAATTCCTTACATGGGATAAAAAATGGATGTTGATCGTTAAATATGTAAGAAGGAATGGATCTCACTGGTTTTCAAGAAAAAACACATTAGAATATTTTATTTAATTAAAGTGTAATATAATAAATACAAGAGTATATAGATACACATTAGAAATGTGTGCGAGCACTAAAATCATTACTTAAGCGAGGCTATGTATGATTACGAGTCGGAGTTCAAATCTATTTATGAAGTGAGATATGAATACGAGTTCACCCAAATTCTTTACATTGTCATTCCTATAGTGGAGTTGTATTAATTCGTCTAAAGAGTGCATTTTCCGTAAAACGGCTACAATATATCAAAGTATGGCATTGTATAATTGTTTTGGAAATGACTTTTATTGGTTTTTATAAATGCAGGTCAGGGTGAAGATTAAGGTGGTCATGGGTACTCCCAGTGGTGCTGTGGCGGCTGAAGCTAGATGGAGCGGTTCCCATTGGGTCATTCTGGACAAGTAATTAAACATGAAAAAGTATTTCTTTTTTCTGAGCTAGTTTATTCAGTTGATTGCGAATATGTTTTCTCATTTCTTCCATGCATACCCTGTGGGTGAGGTCAATTGACTTTGCGCATTTGACACGTTGGTGGGTGGGGGACCTCTTCTGCATTTCCTTTTGCGGCACATTTGCTTTGTGTCTTAAGGAGTATTACTCAACAATTGATTAGCGATACTTGGGAACCTTGTTTTTTCCAATTGCATGAGGTTAATCATTCAATTGATATATGCGTTGAATAGCCTCAACTATTGTCTCACCATCTAAAACAAGTACTTATTACCTACCAGTAAACAGAGAAAGCAACCTATTGCATTCTTTCCCCACCTAATCTTGGCTAGGTCCATTGAACATATTAATTAAATAGATGATATTTGTAAAGGTTGCGACATTATATTTGAGATTTGAAGAGGCACTGCCATGCTAGGATTTGATTGAACAACGGCACCACATAACTTCCAATCAGAAATAAGTAGAATTTTTCGGAGTTGCGTGGCCGAATGAAATAGTTGTTGATGAATGAATACCTTACATTGTTGAAACAGGAAATTAAAGCAAGAGGTAAAGCATTGCATTGATGAACTCAGCTGTAGCATTGTGGTGATGAATGGGTCACAGGCAAAAATCCACAGGCTTAACTTGGGATGTTCCGATGAACTCCAAACTCCTTTTTTCTCTGCTACTTCTTCACCAGGTATAGAAATCGGAAAGTTAAAAGGCAGAAAATTGAAGCATTCTACCCCAGTGAGTAGCCCTGAAGAAGCAGGTACTTCTGTCACGAGAAACATAGGAGTAAATTCAGGGTCAAGTTCTGGCTCGACGACTTCTCTTTTCCTAGTCTATGAACAAAACCCTCTGTACGAGGGTCAGGGCCCAGAGAAGAGAACAAACAAATCGAATGAACCAAAAGATTTTAACACCCCGCCACCATTATACTTTGATCTGGAAAGGGATCGGTCTCCCCCTTCATGGACACGTCCAACTTCATCTGTGGCTAGTGATAGCAAGACTACATTATGGATTCCTCAAAACCACATTGTAGACGAGAAGTTTCAGAAAGCTAAAAACAACAGTGTTATCCAAAGAACTAAATCTCCAACTTCGAAAACTTTACTCGAGAATTTTATACACTGTGATCAAGAGATGAGGACAAATGAAGTTGAGTTTAACCAAGCCCAAAGTAGAAGTTATATCCCCGACTCGGGCTTCAGAGATAATTCCATTCCTTTGGGCAGAACTACCTCTATACCTCCTCCCTTATGCTCTCAGTGTCAGAATAAAGCACCAGTATTTGGAAAGCCTCCTAAACGTTTTTCTTACAAAGAGCTGGAGGAAGCAACTGATATGTTCTCAGATGTCAATTTTTTGGCTGAAGGTGGATTTGGTGTGGTCCACAAGGGAATACTCAAAGATGGTCAGGTTGTTGCGGTGAAACAGTTAAAGTTTGGGGGCTCTCAAGCAGATCTTGATTTTTGCAGGGAAGTTCGGGTTTTGAGCTGTGCTCAACACAGAAATGTTGTACTGTTGATAGGTTTTTGTATAGAGGGCAATTTGAGGATATTAGTCTATGAGTACATATGCAACGGTTCCTTGGACCTCTACTTACATGGTATTTACCAACTTTATTTAAAACACTTCTTTAGGGTCCTTTCTTTCTTTCTTTCTTTCTCACTCTAATTTGTACTTGAATTTCCTATCAAACAATCCAAGGAGAGTTCACAAAGCTCATTATTTAATTAACAGGAGACGAGAGTATGCCTTTGGATTGGAACTCACGCTTAAAGATAGCGATTGGAGCTGCACGAGGCTTACGCTACCTTCATGAAGATTGTAGAGTTGGTTGTATAGTGCACAGAGACTTCCGACCCAAAAATATCCTCTTAACCCATGACTTTGAACCTCTGGTAATTACTGGCCCTTCCGCATATTTTGTTGCCAAAAGTTGACTTTTATATTTTGTTTGCAATCGCTCAATTGTAAAAGATAATGTTTCACAGATGAATAAGAAGAAAAATTGATGCTGAATCTAATCATTTACCATTCATTTAGGTGGCTGATTTTGGGCTTGCTAGGTGGCACTCAGAATGGAATATAGATACAGAAGGTCGTGTTATAGGAACTTCAGGGTATTTTTCTTGCTTTATGCATATATATATATATATATATATATATATATATATATATATATATATATATATATATATATATATATATATATTCTTCGTATCAAGATATGGAACATCATAGTTTTGATTCTAATGGTTACCTTACATAAACTAGGTATCTAGCACCGGAGTATCTTGACGCTGGGAACCTTACATACAAAGTAGATGTATATGCATTTGGAATTGTATTATTAGAATTAATTACAAGTAGAAGAATTAGTGACTTGGAACAGTTCAATGGACACTCGTATCTATCTGAATGGTTTCACCCCCTACGCATGTTAGAGCCCAGTCATATCTTACAAAACGTTCGATCTCTCAAACCATGCTTTGATTCTGAGGAGTCGTTGGAATTTAACCTTCAAATGCAAGCCATGGCACGAGCTGCTTCGTTGTGTTTACGTGTGGATCCTGATGCCAGACCCCCAATTTCAAAGGTATGATTTGTTTGGATTCTTTAATAAAAGCTGGTTGCTTAATGATCATATCGAGAAACACTATTTTTAATATATTGATTTTTTTTCCTTCTTATCGTAATTGTAGGTCCTGAGAGTGCTGGAAGGAGGAGATCCAGTTCGTCCTATGGGTTTAGACATCAATTCAGTTGGTAACACAAGTGGCCATTTAAGTGGTTTGAATTCACACACTACGCCTAAAGGTACCAGAAGTCATTCTCGAAGACTATCACATTAGATAATTCCTTCTGCTCTTGGGCTAGCTAAAGGATCTATTATTGGCTTTTGGCCATGTAGTTCTGTTTGAGCTGCATTGGATCAATTATTACCCATTTGAAGCGTGGAACTCTCTTGTACGCTTATAGAAACTTCCAGACAAGCACAGCACTTGGTGGAAAGCGGTAAGAACTGAGAAATCAATTTCTTAGCCTTATTAAAAAGTTAGATTTGTAATATGGCTGGAGTTTCCGGTGCCATGTAGTTCCTAACTCGCCATTCGTTTAATAGCAAAAAATTCACTTGACAGAGGGGATGTTTCTCTTTGCACTATTTTCTCTTGGATCCGAAGGGAAACCCCCAAATTTGGTTGTACAACGTGAGGCCCTTAATAATGATAAGTTTCAGTTTCAATAGGCGGGGCTACAAGGAATTAGGAACTTTAAACAAATCAGTTACAGATTCAGATTTAGCAGTATACATATATGTGTGCTGTTCACCTTTCCCCATTTATTTTTGTTAGTGGAAAATATATTAATTTTGAATACTATGGCTACTACAGTCCGTTTCAATTACTTTGCTTCTGTATTTTTGCCTTTACAGCACCTATTTTCTCCATGTGCAGTCCATTGATAGTTACATCTGTATCTATATACTGATACTCAGAAAGAAAAAGGAATAAAGGTTTTTTTACCCATGTATCTATTTTCGTTTTTTTTTCTTTGAAGTTAGAAATGAACGAACAACTAACAATTTATCTAAAATACCGCAACTATTTTAGAAAAAAGAAATAAAATATAGTGCAACTTTCATGTTATTTTAAGTTTGACTTTTGTTTGAAGATAAACAAAATTTGAAGTTGGGAGAGTTGATAAGTGTCAATTTTACTAAAAGAATATAACTTTATTGATACTTATTTGGTTAGGTTTAAAAGAAAAAAATAATTTGAACTCTAAAATTATTGTGAAAGTCAAAAAGACGTGTAAATTGGATAGTTGTTTACGAAGAGTTGATGATTTTTGAACTAATGAACCTCATTTTCCTATAAAATCTGATCAAGATTCAAAGTCTTTAAAAAATGTAGTAAGTCTCGAGCCAAATGAATTTTACTCGGCAAAATTTAAGAAAAATACAAGAGAGTCATTGCCAAGATGCTACTCAAATAGTGCTTCTAGAAGTGACCCCTAAAGCCTTGAGTAAGGCTTGTACACGAAAATATGACAGTTTCAAAATTTGCATGTATTTGTCAGCTCGACGACATAGGTCCTCCATGTTGTAAGGAGGTTTCTTGCATAAGTTGGAAGCGAAACGACCCCTCTTTTAGGATTGTGACTAGATGATGTAATGCAACTATCAGATTGAGGTTTTTAATCTCAAGAGTCATCCTTCCATCAAAGGTTGAAGGGTTTCTCTCTCCTCTTGTCAGATGTTTACCAAAGTTGGGAAAGTCAACTAGTAAGGCTAACTCATAGAAAACTAGATTGCAAATTTTGAGGCGAGTGTGTTAAAGGAGTCAATGGAGTTTGGAGGTGGCCGAGTTAACCAATTTAACATTCTTCCCTTTAAAGAGATTGGAAAAATGCCACAAAAGGATGCATCATCAATGGTGCTCAAGGTGACTTGAGTGAGATAACCATTGATATGCTCATCTGGGTCGGAGGTATTTCATACTTGTCTAAAGGGAGACTTTTCCAATTGTCTAGAAGAGGTTCCTACAATATGTTAAGGGTGAAGGAGTGACTATGAGGTCCCACGAGAGCATTATGTTGGTTTATGATTGGGACGGTTGGCATTCAATGAGCAAGTGTGGTCAATGAGAAAAGAAGGGTAGGGGTGTCTTGTTCTTGAGTGGGGCGGGAGGACGCTCTGGGTTGTGTTACATGGGATGGTTTCCAAGAAGGGTCTTGGTTTTTAAGTTGAGCATTATCTCGCTTCAATGCCAATAACTTTCTAACATCCTTCTCCCGTTGTTGGCACATTTTTTTCATCTCTTCGCTCGATTGACAAACAACTCTGAAAGGTGTGTTTCATCCACTAATTAACACATGATCTTGATAGGTAGATACTCTTATTCTTGTGATTAGTGACCATAACCATAGTTTTAAAAACCGGACCGGTCATCGAACCGGTTAAGGTACTGGGTCAGTGGGTCAAAGGTTGAACCGGTAGGTCACTAGTTGAACCGCATGACTCGATTTTTATTTATTTTTATTAAAAAATATTCATATTAAATATATTTTATACTTATAAATTTTAATAAATTCATATCTTATTTTAAATTTCAATTTTTCTATCTTATTTAAAATTATTTTTATTTTTATTTTGTAAAAAAATACATAAAAAAATTACATGTTAAACGGTATATTAATACAAATTAAAAATATAAATAATATGTACATATATAATATGCTTGCAATTAATATCACAAAATAATATATGTAATATTTACATAGATATTACATTATTAAATATATAATTTAAAATTAATAATATACTATAAAAGTTATTTAAGTTGTATATATTGCAAACAAATATATTAGAACAAGTAGTCATTGTTATATTTAATAAGACTCCTTGCTTTTTCATTAAGAGATTCAATTTTCATTATTATTTTTATGATTTATGGTCCCTTAAAAAAATTTAAAAAAAAAAAAAAAGTGGTTGAACCGGTTTGACCCACCAGTTCACCGGTTGAACCGGAAAATTGACCGGTTCAATCCGATTTAAAACGGGTTGACTGCATAACCGATCCAACTTCAGATTCGGACCGGCTGGACCACCGGTTCCCGGTCCAACCGGCCGGGTCGGTCCGGGTTTTAAAACACTGACCATAACAACAAAATTACTAATCTTATGAAACATGCAAAGACATTCTAAGGTTTAAATAAAATACTCACTCAACATAATAAATACCAGTAATAAATGAATTATAATATTTTATCTCAAAGAATATTATTAAATAACTCGAAGAACTCGTGATTGTCGGCAATAGTCCGGCTGGGCGAGTATAAATAACTCGATGGATGAAACTCGTGATTGTCGGCAATAGTCCGGCTAGGTGAGTATAAATAACTCGATGGATGAAACTCGTGATTGATCGGTAAACATCCGAATGGGCGAGTATAAGTAACTCGAAGACAGTTTATGATTCAAGATTGATTCCTAACTCGACCCACCATTGTTAACCGGAATTTGGACGATTCCAAATTACGAATCAGAATTTGACCGATCCTTTCATATAATTACATCTTAATGTTGATTTGAATTCTAGCTCATTGCCGACCACATGGATAAAATTTAACCGGAGTTTGGACGATTCCAGACTACGAATCGGAATTTGACCGATCCTTTCATATAATTACATCTTAATTTTGATTTGAATTCTAGCTCATTGCCGACCACATGGATAAAATTTCATGATAAAGATATTTTTCATGATAAAAATATAAACTTCTCTTCAAATACGCGAATCGGCATTTGGGGCGATTAAGTGGTTGAGTTTCCTTTTGAATTAGATATTTCCCATATTACTGTTGCTAACCATACAATTAAATTCTACATTCGAGTCAGCATCTAGCCGACCATAGGGTTGAGTTTTTATTGAATCATATACTCCCCATATTATTGCAAGTCGGCACTTTGCCGATCTTATGGTTAAGTTTTTCCAAACAAATTATATTTGCCACGTTATTGCTAGTCATCATTTGGCCGATCATACGGATAAATCTCATTCCAAACTCTAGAAAATTTCTTCAATATTTTGAGTCGACAATTTGCCGATTACACGGTTAAAGATCATTATTTTATTGCTCAATATTCCACGTTGAAGTAATGATCGAAATCTTGACAATAACGTCATTCAAGGGTGGCGTCCGACTTAGATTTGTTTGTTCCTTCTCATTAAACTGGAATTGGACAGATTACTTGGCTCAAGTAAGCTTTTCAATTTAGAATTATCTATCCCCTTTTCCTTATTCGGATTTTAGCCGAACATTTTGTTCCCAGAATAACATCCAACTTACAATTTCGTCCCACTGAAATTATTTATTTATTTTGGCGAACCGTGGTTATCTCTTTGGTATCTGGCCGACAACTTTTATATTGTAAATAATTGCCAACGGAGTGAATCTTTCGTTGTCATGCTAATTTGGAATTGTGGGGATACATGGGGAGTGAGTCGGCGTTCGCCTGACTCCTTACTTACAATATCACGAGTTCGTAACTAAGAGTTTTTTCACTAATTTTTTAAGAACCGCTTAAGAAACCTTTGAGTAGGCGACCGCCTCGTGCAAAAATCGATTTTACCTTTTCTGTAGTCGTGTTTGGCCGTTGGTCTCGCGAAATCAATTTTAACTTAGAAAATGTAAACTTTTTCAGTAATCGGAATTTGGCCGATTCTTTTGCAACTCCAATTTTTAGCTTAGAGAAATTTTCACTTGACGTTTGCACCATCGTCATAATCTGTTTTTCAGCACACAATCATTTAACTCGCAGCAAAATAGCAACAACTAGAAGTCATATCAAATAGTTGACGAGGGATAGGTCGGTAATGGCTTAGCTGACTCTCTTTCTACCATAAGCCTTCTCGCCTTACACGCTCAAGTGTGGAGGGCTAGTGTACCGTCCAGGTAAAAATCCGACTTGACCTTCTGCTCGGCTAATACCCGATTAGGTTACTAGGCTACAAGCCTTTTCGCCTTATAGGCTCAAGGCTGGAAGGCAAGTGTACCGTCCAGGTCAAAATCCGACTTGGCCTTCTACTCGGCATTAACCCGACTGGGTCCTCGATATGGACCCAGTCGGTCGAAATCCGACCAGATTTGTTCCCCTTAAACCCCGCGCCATCATGATAAGAAACGGTTAGAGAAATCCCTTGATCCTCGGGGCCCAAGAGGCCCATGAACGACGCACTATAAAACCCAAAGACCTAGAGCTAAGGAGGCAGATCACACTTTTGAATGCTCTGGCTTTGAGGCTTGACCTAGGAAAAAACCCTAGTTCACCTCGTGGCCGGAACAATAATAAATACCAGTAATAAATGAATTATAATATTTTATCTCAAAGAATATTATTATTTATACTAAGTATAATGAAGCATTGGGTTGATGTGCTTGAAATTTCAATTAGACCTAGATTAGTATGAATTCTAAGATCTTCTTTTCCACCCTTAAAAATATTTTTTATTCCCTCCCATCACCACAGGAAACCAAATAAAAATTTAAACCCAATATCTCTATATCTTGCATTCTAATATAAAAATATCTTCAAATGATTGCGCAAATCATAAATAGGCCAGTTAGAGCCTAACAATATACCCACGCACCATTAGTTAATTATCTAACAACTTTTAAGAGAATGTCTACTACACGGGTCTTCTGTTTGAATCTTTTAATATGCCATGCATATTTAAGCGGTCAGAAAATAGAGATATCTTACCAAATTTATTATAAACTCGGATTCGTTGGATATTACACAAGATAATATGTTTCTTTATTAAAATTCACCGTGTTACTTTAAATTATATTCCTAACAACAAACATATTGTTATTTCCCATAACACCCACCATTAATTAATTTGTCAAGCTTTTATAATTATATCACACTATATATATTGTGAGTCAAAAATCATTAAAAATTACAAAAAAAAAAATTCATAAAATTTGTTAATAATAATAAATATTTAAAATAATATTATTATAATTGTTATAGCAATAACAAATAAAAATGAAAGAGAGGTAATAATAATATTAATGAATCACAATTGTTTGCATTCTCAAAACCCAATTTTCAATTGAAGAAAACCAGAATCCATCAAACAGCCCTTATGATTCTGAAACCCAGGCCTGAACAACAGAAACCGTATAACAACCTCAATCAAAGAAAGGCCTTCATTCTTACACAAATTATATATCAACATTACATTACACAAATAATGAATATATATAAATATAAAGATATTAATTGGACCATGCATGGCTGTCCCAATCTTGCAGAATCGATTCATCATCATAATCAATCAATCAATCAATCAAAGTCAACGAGCACAAACAAAAAGAAACAACCATGATCCCGCGGAATGGGCCTTCAGTTCTTCCAGTTGGGCCGGCCCGAAGAGAAACTACTATCGGATTCGGAAGGCAACGAGTCCGCATCGGAAGCCACGCGGTGGTGCAGCACCAGATTATTATTTTGGTTGCTATTGTTCATCGTTTCCGAAACGCTCCACACCTTAACCGACTTATCCAAACTTCCACTGTACACAATCCATCGCCGGTCGCCTCTCGCGGTGGCTTCGCGGTCCTCCTCCACGGCCAGGCACTTCACGGGGCCGTCGTGCCCCGTCAGCACCGACACGCACGTGTGGATCACGCCCTCCCTCTTCCACACGCATATCGTCTTGTCGGCGGACCCGCTGAACACTAGCGCCCCCGCCGCCGTCAGGCACAGCACGGCCAGCTTGTGGCCCTTCAGGACGCCGCCGTGGGCGTAGTTCTTCTCGCGCTCCCAGAAGTTCACCAGGCCGTCGGAGGCGCCGCAGTACACCATGGTGCCCGTCGCGTCCACCGCCAGCGCCGTCACCGCGCACTCCTGCTTCAGGAGCGTCCTCACCGGCGCGTGCTTCAGCCCCTTCCCCCGCGGCTCCCTCCGCCACACCTTCACCGTCCCGTCCGCCGAGCCGGAGAACATGGTCGCCTCGCTGCCGCACACCACCGCGTTCACCGCGTCGTCGTGCGCGTGGATCGACTCCTGGCACTTGGAGTCCGATATCCTCCACACCTTTATCGTCCTGTCCCACGACGCCGAATACAGATACGTTTTATCGTCCGAGAGACTCAAGCACGAAACGGCGTCCGAATGCTTTATCCATAATGCCGTTTTGTGTCGCCGAACCTGAAGCCAACGACAACATAAACACCTATTGTCACGTACGTAGAGAAGAAAAGAAAAACATATATATATATTTATATATAATAAGATGAAGTTGATGAGAACGGAGAACCTCGACGTAGTTGCTGGGCTTAATAGAACTCTTGAAGATATCCTTGAGAGTGGGCAAAGTGCCAGCGCGTTTGTGGACGCTAGGGTTCTTGGGGGAAACCTTCCAGACGCGGATTTTGCCGTCTTGGTGACCGGTGAAGATTTTGTGGGCAGAGAGAATGATGGTTTTGACCAAACCGCTGTTGGACTTGAAGCCGCAGTACTCGTGAAGATTCTTCCAGACGCGAATGTTCTTGCTGTCGGAGCCTGTGTACAAGAGGTCACCGGAGGCGGCGAGGGAGTAGATGTGTCCCTCCTCCCGCACCAGAGACCCTATGAGGGCGTTGGGAGGGATGTCCTCGTCTTGCTGGTGGCAGGACCAGTGAGGCTTGGCGAAGGGTGAATTCGTTGTTTGGTTCCATGGTGACATCATCATCGGCGAGCTTTCTCCGCTCAGCCTCCCCTGCTCGTAGCAGTACGGACTCATCGGCGAGGCCCCGCTGCTGCTCCTCATCGTGCACTCCTCGTCCGTCCTCCACATTCTCGCCTCCGCCTCCCCCAACATCGCCTTCTTCTTCCTTTTCTTCTCACGATGTCATTCACCGTCGCGCAGCTCAAATGCCTTTGCTGCCCCAAGAATCCAACACTTTGATTGATTGCTTTCCTTTCCTATTGCCAAGTCAAGACTCTCCCCGTTTATTATTTATTATTTATTATTTATTATTTATTATTTATTATTTATTATTTCAGGAGAGAGACAACGTTTAAAACTATATATATGGATCCTAACTCCTGGCGCCTCTCTTTCCACACGTCCACCCTATTCATTTCTTCTCTCTTTCCCGCTTTCTTCGCCTTCTTTTTTTCTCTTTTCAACCCTATTTTTCGATCTTTGTAACTATAGTATCATTTTTATTAGAAACTACCAACCCATTAGCCATACACATTCCCTTGCCTTTTTTTTCATTTCTCACACATCACAACCAATGCTCTCATCTTTCTCATTTTAATCATCTTTCAACTTCAACTCAACCGATTAAGGTTCTCTTTCATAAATCATGTTTCAGTAGTCATTTTTCCGGAACATGCTATATAATAATATTTTATATGACTTAATGGGTATTTAATTGGTATCGATTTTTTAAGGTATTTTCTTTTTTCTCTCTACATCTAAATGTCTTATTTATATAAAAATTGTTATTTATCGCTTCAAATCGGAAGACTTTAATTGAAACACACACTTAATCTAGGTTTCTGTTGCATGGGTACCATCATTATCGTTATTACAACATATTCTACGGATAAAGCTTTTCCAAAAGATAAGCAAAACCCTAATCGAACCAGCTCTATCCACGCGCACCAGCAAGAATTGGAGACGAACCTCTCGTTAACTAAGAAGGTTATTTTATAAGAAGAGAAATGCACATCCAAGGTCTGCACCACCGATGTGGACTCTAGTACAATTAACTCTACTACATTGCTACCTGTATTTCCAGGATGAGAACTAAAGATGTACATGGGACTTAGTGAAAATGCCCGGATGATATCACAACACCAATGTGGGACTTAATCAAAATGCATCGATCCAAGTACGATACCGATGTTGGACTTTGTTAAAATACAATGACATACTCTGATTTAAGGAACTTGAAAATGCTAAACGCAGCAAAGAAGCTTTGAAGTTCAACTGCTGTTGAGTAAAGCTTTGGCTCAAATATAACCTCTTAATCGTTATCTCTTTCACTTATAATCAATTGAATTAATGAAGATGCACCTTGATAATGTTTCAGACGCACCGGAAGTTTTCAAAACCGGAAGTAATAATGAAAGACGATGATGCCAAAGTTGCTTCAAGGGCTATTGAAAATTTCATGAAAATCATAAAAAAAAAAAAATAGAAAACGAATTTGTAAAGTTTATTACAGTACAACATAGAAGCATAATATATATGTATAATTTTTATTTTTTATATTATATTATTTAATTATCACTGATTCAACCAACTTTTAGCCAATTCAATGATCAATCAAATTAATTTTTTTGTAATGTATAATAATAAACAAAAACAAGTCCAGTTTACAAAATAATATTTTAAGATTAAAAAATAATAATTTTGAAGATAATCGTAGCATATAATTCTAATATAACATTTTTAAATTAAAATTTAAATATTATAATTTTTCAAATTAAAAATTTTAAATTTGATAGCAATGTGAAAGACTTACCGCAGAGGTCAAAGGTTGTAACTTGTAAGTTCTTCACGTAGGGATTGAAGGGAAAAATAAAATGCATCCGAAAATATTTGTCTAATGATAAGTGAATGAAGCTTACAAAAAAATTTGAGACAATTTTTTCCTTTAAATAAAAAAGATATATGTTAGAGTTTTTTCCCCCAACATATGTTGTATTTTAACTCTATTATAAAAATATTTGATTTTATAAATTTCCAAAATGTGCGAATAAAGAGGAAGTTTGTTTAATTATTGCCACAACGTAAAGAACAAATTGAAATTTTTTTTTATACAATCATTAAAGTTGGATTTTTTTTTATAGTTAAAGAAATTACATGGAATAATTATTAACACATTTTACACGCCTGGAAAATAAACCATACAATGTCTATTCCATCTTGCAAGAGTTACAAACTTGGTGTATTAATTGTAGTAAAGCTGAATCTAACATAGCATCACGTGAAGTGATGGGTTTGTTTTAGATAGGTCACCTTGTATCAAATTGTTACATGCAATCAGAATCAAATAGAAAGCTTAGAAGTTTGGCTTCCTCATATTAAGTGACATACCTTGGTGCATGAGAGAGTTAGTTTTATTTGGATGAGACAATGGCATATTATCACTTATGAGGTAGGGACACATGCATAGTTTGTGAAAGTGAAAACAGAATATGCATGCATGGACCCTGAAACAGTGCAACCATGTGAGACTCTATGGACTCTAAAAGCTGAGAGAGGTGTGAATTGTGTTTATTTGTTCCTACCTTAGTCAGATAGGATTACTAAAAATAGAAAATTTGGATGTTGGTCAAGGGAACTATGATAGACTTTTTACCCTTTTTCTTTCATTAAAAGAAATAGCTGTCAAGTAATTTTGTCCAAACAGTATCTCAAAATCAACTATTGTTTTCTTAAAAAATAAGTATTTGATGTAATTAAATATTGAATAGTACTCCTTTCCTTCTCTAAATTATTTAACACATAGATAAAAAAAAAGTTAAAATAAATAAATGAAAGAGAATAATAATTTTACAAAATTAATCATATAACTAATTATTTTTTGTTAGAAACATAGTACAATGATCACGTTTTTTTTTTATAAATATATATTATGTGAAGAGATGTCACTAAAGATTAATCAAGTTTTTTAATAAAAATTAGTCATTAATAAAGTTAGTAGATACTTATAACATGATTAACTTTAAAAAAATGAGTTATATAAAAACTTGTCAAGTTATATACTTATATATTTTCTTGTTTTTATTTAACACTCTTTATTTTTTTCCTATCAAACTTTATCAATATCAAACTGACCTAAGTATTACTTATTTGTGGCTATTGTTGAATCCAATTTTAAACTATGTAATGTAGCTTTAAATTCGGGTAATAATAATTCAAGACTCGAGCTTGCCTAAGGGAATGATTAGAGCTTTTTGGAAATGACAGCGAAACAAGAATTGCAATGAAACTAGTTAAATAAGAATGGCATAGCCAGCTTGGCATGTAAACATTTCTACTTTCTTTCTTCTATAGTTTAGCAACATCAAACTTTTTTTTACCACTCCGTTGTGGTTGCCTTAAAATAGTTTAAAAGAAAATAAAGCAACGAAAAAATAAGAAGAAATATTATTTTGGATGCTCTTTGCTCAATGAATAGAGCGTAGAATCTATTGATAGGTGATCTCATCCCACGATGGTAATGGGCATATCTGAATATCTGTTTGTAACAAAAGCAGAAACTTTGTTTTGTCATTTTTGTCTCCATACATTGCATTGCAAATTTAGAGGTTTCGTTTTTATTTCGAGAGTATTACACGTACAACGAAGTGATATATGAATTTGTTGTTAGAAATTCATTTTTTTTTAATTTTTATAGAATTTCTCAAAACTAAATATCCACGGTGCACAGCATACATTTGTGGTTGGTGACGTTGATACTCAAAATACTGAGATTCTGACGCGTGGAAACCTGAACTGTGGGGACATGCATTGAGGTTTGGCTTCATTCCTCTTCATCTGCCACGTGTTACTCAACACTGGAATGTGTGCCCCCAACAGTGCTGCAAGTAGCAAAGTTTCTGAATTATAGAAAGGAAAATGGAAAAAAGACGTTGTCTCCTTTGCATCAATAGAATACCTGGTTTTTGAGCAATAATGGACTTGGTTGCTTAATTAGATATAGGCTTAGTTTGATTTTTTCCAAGGAAAAAATTTAGTTACGAAAGGAACACTATTGTTGATCACTGGGATTACCACATATATATACATATATAAACTTATGTCTATTCTTTTATTTGAATAATGTGGAACTTTACTTGCATCCCAACAATTATACTTATTATTCTGACATATTTTTATGGATATTAATCTTTTGTAAAATTATTTTTGATATATTTTTATGGATATTAATTATTTATAAAATTAATAGATATTTTATATTAATAATATAATTATAAAAAATTATTATCAAAAAATTAGGATGAATGCTTTGGAGACCACCGGTCCAAGTTCACGGTCGGTGCAGATACAACCTTTCTGAAAGAAAAAAAAAAAAAAAAGAATCGTACAATAATAATTTTTTGTCCGATTTGTGAATTTATTTTTCTTTTTAAGACACTAATATTTTGATATTGGTTGATATATTTTAAATTTTAAATTTTCAAGATATTAAGTGTGTGTTTGAAAAAATATTGACTTCAACGTAATTCACATTTTCTTTTCCAATCCATATACATAGTTGGTATGTTATTTGAAACACTGGAACATGTGAAAATTCATTTTGGAGCGTCTGAACGTAAAACCAAACATGTTGTAAGATGTTGATGTTTGGTTGCTGTAGTTATATTTTTAAATCTCAAAACATTAAAATTTTAATGTTTTTATTAAAATATGTAAACTTTTATATGTTATGCTAAGATTTTGATCATTTAAAATATTTAATTTTATTACAAATGTATTTATATTATATATATATATATATATATATATATATATATATATATATATGTGTGTGTGTGTGTGTTTCTATAGCTTAAAAAAGAAAGAAAAAAAACTGAAACAAAATATATATATATATATATATGTGTGTGTGTGTGTGTTTCTATAGCTTAAAAAAGAAAGAAAAAAAACTTCTTCAATATAATTTGAAATTTCTTTATTTTTTTAATTTTTCATATTTTAGTTAGTTCTTTGAATCGACCTATTGAATCCATGCACCAAATTTTTTTGAACGTTTATTTCACAAACCAAACTTATCTGAGCCGTTTTAAGTACAAACTTGACAAGCTTAGACCCTATCAGACAAAATCCGTTTGTATACTTACCCATATAAAGAGAATATAACATTTTGATTTAGTTTGTTAATGTCAATGAAAAACCCACTTGAGATAAGCCAACTAATTCGATAAATATATACAAATAATGGTCACTCAAGAGGTAATTTTTCCAACTTGCCAATACAAGAACATTCCAAGATTTTAATGACTTTCAAAAATTTAACTATAAACGGAATAAACTCAAAAATTAATTAAATAATTAAAATAAGAAATGGAATAACAAACTTAAAGACAAAAAAGTAACTTCAACAGCAAAAATTAATATGTATTGAACCGTTACATTTCAGCCGAAATTTCTCATTCCAAAATTTACATGAAAATTGCCCAAAAGTAATATGTATCAGACATTTTCAATATATTTTATTTAATTTTGTATTTAGAAATGTTTCTTTTATTTTAAGGGTCTTGCTAAACTCTAACCAAAAGGGAGAATTTTTTTATTAGAAAGTTGTATTGAAAACTATGAAAGTTGCAGTTATTTAACAAAAAATACTCCACTTTTATGTCAAAAATAAATTGCAATTAAGATTTCTTAACTAGTCCTTCAAAGACTGATTACATTTTTCTTTTATTAAATAATGATCCAATTCCCTTCAAGAAAAAATGATGATCCAATTAGCTGTATACTGTTTTTAGTGGGTTAGTAACTGCAAGCTTTACAATGCAAGTTAGTAAGTTTACGATGTTAATATCTATAAGCTTTGATGTTTTTGTTGTTGCGATCACTCTTAGAATAAACGGAAGGGATTGGGCTTTGGAATTAAAACTAGACCCATTCTTTGAGTGGATTTCATTTGAGTGTGATTTTTTGCTTAAAAAACCCACAATCTGTAACCCAACTAGGTATGGTCAGTTTTAACAACTTATCTTGGTGATTTTGCATTTTAATTTTATAAGTCATTAAAGTTTCAAATGCAAAAGAATCTAGTCATTGTATTCCGATGAAATTAGATTAAGTCACGTGTCACTCACATCTTTTTTTTTTTTTTTGTTCGTCCCTGGCGTATCCACCGCCGACAGCAGTAATTAATCTTCTCGCTACGTTGGAGGCACCTCAAAGGGTGAGATAACTGGCTGATTCGAACCTCTGACCTTGCTTAAGCGTGGATCAACCCCTACCGTTGAACCACACGCTTGGGGTTCGTGTCACTCACATCTAAGCATATTTACTAAATAAATTAGCTATTGGTTTTTTTATAACTCATTTGGTTAAAATAAATAAATTTTTAAATTATAACAATCTCCCTTATTATAACTAGTAAGGTCGAGATATTTTTGTACTCTATTAAAAATAAAATAAACTAAAAATTCACCATAACGTATTTTATTTTGTAATTATGAGTTAAAAATACACATATTTTATCTTTTAAGGAAAAAATGACTAACATTTATTGAAAAATGATTTTAAAAAATGTGGATATCTTTTTCAATCGAAGAAATTACGAAATGTGATGATTACAAATCACATGGAATTATGTATCTTGAAATAATTAGGAGCGGAAATACATGAAGTTAAACAATGTTTTGCTTTCAAGCACAAACAAAAATGTTTTGCTTAAATAAGATTTGACCTATTTAAAAAAAAATATCCATGGTCCAAGACTGGTTTGTCACTTGTCAACTGTTTATTTATTTATTTTTAACGATTAATATTCTAACCTTTTTGAAAGTTTTGATTGATCTGTTAACTTACTAAAAATAACTTATTTCTTATTAAAAACAATTAAATAGTTGATGTATTGCATTTAATTTATAGTTAGGAAACATTTTAGTTATGATTATTTGCATTCACAGCTGTTTAAGTCTTTATTTACGTTAATTTTATTGTATTTCATTCTTTTTGTCAAATTTGTTACGTCTTAGGTGTTTTTCATATATGCAGGTGCTATATTATTGAACATTTGGTGCTAAATGGATTTTTTTTTCTAGTGCATATTGCGATCTTATAGATGAAGCATGACCATCAAAGACCTATTTAAAACTTGGAAGTAGAAGAAGGCGTATTTAGAATTACAGGCTACTGGCACAAGCATGTCATCTATTAAGGAATATAATGTTCTAATTAAAAGTAGAAACAAAAAAAATATTATGAAGTGAGATATCAAGTAACAAATCATATGCACAATACAATAACTATATGCATTGTCATACATGCATTTTCAATAAAGAGATCTCTCACAATATAAGTGAACAATTTAAGTCACTTGACTTTAACTAAATCAACAATATAATCTTTTCAATCCAATTAGATCAACAACCAATTGGGATATCAATCTCTAATAATATAATATCTCGGATGTCACCACTTAAACTAAAAAATCTAGTATTTTTATCGGGGTAGAGCAACTTGAGTTTGAGTCTTCCATAAAATTAGTTAGTATAACTAAGTCATTTGTAGGATTAGTTTGTTAACTATCCTCTAAATACTACACTTCTAATACTTAGTTTTGTCCAAAGAAATCCTTAACAACTAAATAACCCAACATGAAATTCAACACAATAAACAAAAAATTAAATTAAAACATAGAGTGTTACACTTATAAACAACACATTTTTATAACTTTTTTATTTACACTTCACTTTTTGACAACTTAAAAAAATTAATTTAATTATTATAATTAAATATTAATTTAATTAAACATAATAAATATTATTTTAACATAAATTTTAATAATAAAATTTACACATTTTATTTAATGTGTATAAAAATATTAAATATTAAAAGAAAAAATTTACGAAATCATGAGAAATACATAGTGAAGGTTGACTAATTTTTTATTCGTGAATAATGAAGGATTGATGATGCATGATTATTTTTTCTATTTGTAAAATTGGTTTATATTCTCTATTATTTGTTGAAATAATGAAAACTACTTTTTTAAATTTATAAATAATTAACATTACTTATTTAATAATTATTATTTATTATTAAACAATTTCTTATATCATGTTATCCCATTCCCATAAAAACTACTAATAAACATCATTTCTTATTAAGAAGACACACTTCAACATTCTCTTTCGATGCTCAAAACAAACTATTTTTAACAAATGAATCATTAATTGGTGTAAAAAAAAACAGATGAATCATTAAGCATATTTCAAGAAAAATATCTTCCGTATTCCCCCTAGGTTGACTCCTGCGTGCTGCTTTATAACTTATCCCGTTAGAGACACTCAATTTGGTTGACGCTAGCTTTCTCCTTCGAACTATAACACGTTCCCTTTTATATGATGTTGCAATTCGTTATTCATTCAAGATTCTTTTCTTTTTTTTTATGGAAGGAGCAACAAGTTACAAGTATTTTAAGTCGACAACTTTTCGAAAACTACACTATAACACAAACGGAGCATATTTAATAAGTTTATAAATTTTTCAAAATTCATACTGTAGTTATATTTCACACGCTATCAATGTTTAAATTTCAGTCAGCCGTAGTTGCATTTTTATCATAATCCCCAATCTTTGACAGTGTAGTTAATACCAGTTGCCATCTAATTTTATAACCACCACCAGACTGTATATTTTAATTAATTTATTTTAAAATAACCACTTTATAATTTCTGAAAAATCAAACTGAATGAAAACGTCATCTGAATTCTTTTGTTCAGACCAATTAAAAAATGGAAATATATAAAGAGTTAGCTAATAATACTATAATAGCATGCCATTCTCGCAGTGTCTATTTTACGATTTTTATCAAAAATAAAAATCTATTTTATTTTATTTTTGTAGAAGAATTTTAAGTGAATTAGGTCTTGAGAGCTCAATAGAGTTGGAGCTTATCTTAAGACTCTATGAGAATTGTACTTGTTGAGAAATGTTCATAAAATAATCTTCAAGTGAAAGTTTTCAGGTTCTTGGTCCTCGATTCTTAGTCTTTGGAGTTGTAAATGGTGGTTGTACTTGTAAAAAGAACTTCAATATTAAAGTCAACAAGTAATCAAAGTGTTTTTATGTAGTATATGAAGTTACATACCTTATGAAGATGAAATGCAAGTATTTATAGATGAAAAGATATTATCATTAATGATTTGGTCATTTAAGTGCATTTAAGATCTTTTATTATCGTGTAATAGTCGAACATTACTTTATCGTAATTTTGGAAGGAAATCAAGCCAGGTCGAGTACTCCTTGACTTGGTCAAACACTGTTTGGCATAGACGAACACTACTTTTCTTGAAATGTTCTTGAGTTTGAGAACTGACAATACCTAACTCCTAGACCTATCTAGAACATAAACCCGCCAAGTCATCAACTCATGGGAGAAGAGTTCAATGAATCTTTGGTTGCCAAAAAAATTGATTTCCCACCTAAGAATTTGGGATTGTCGCCTTCCAAGTATGTCATCACTTTAGCAATCTCATCAAGTGCAATGATGACATGTCAGAAATCCTAGGAAGGTTCTAGAGGTTGAATAGGTGCAAAATGTATTTCAGAATGTGAGGGCTACATCTTTCCCTACCATTGGATCTCCAACGGTTCATAGAGATGTGACGCTTTGTATCCCAAGTTGCTTCGCTTTTATAAATAGGGCCCTCAGCTTTCAAAGAGATTTACCTACAAACCTCTACATCTCAAAAACTCCGAGTATTAGCCTTTTCAACTACCTACACACTACTACAAAAACACTATTTAACGTCGCTATATTTACATCGGTTCTAGTAGAACCGATGTAAATTATAAACGCGGTGGCAAACTTGTAAATAAATAAAAAATATAAACATATTTACATCGGTTAAGAGGAGAACCGATGTAAAAATGGAATCCAGAAGTTGTTATACGTCAGTTTTACTTATGACCGATGTAGAAGTTGAGACCCTAATATACCCACCCTACGAAGGCACGCCCTTTCACTTATCATCAACATGCCCAGCTGCCAAGAGCAATGATGGAGAAACAGAAGAGAGCCATGACGGAAGAACTGGTTCGCCACTCAGCACATGAAGTCCCTCTCCAAACGCCTTCGCAAATACGGTTATGAGCCTTTTTCTCTCTCTTTCTTCCAATTTCCCAAACCCTAATTTTCTATTCCCTTTTTCCAGGTGGAGTACCCATGGAGGTGGTGAAGCAGGGCTCGGCGGCAATAGGGCTCCAATCGAAGACTCACGTGGTTCTCGCATGCGTCAACAAGGCCAACTCCGAACTCTCCTTGCACAAATGACATCGTCGACGTCGTTGGTGCTGAAGCATTGTTTGGCGATTTGGGAAGAGTGGGCCGTGGGCGTCGGCGAGGGAGCCCAGGAGGTGGTGGGTGGAGCGGGAGCGGGTCAGGAGGGGGAGGTGGCCTAGGATGGGCCACGCGCCGAGGATGTTGGGGGCCTCTTTCGAGGCTTGGGCCTTGGAGCGGTGGAGGAGGAAGAGGGAGGAGAGGGAGGAGAGAGAGGAGTGCGATTAGGAGAGGGTCCATTTTGGTGCTATATATTTATGTTTATGCCTATGGGTTATGTAGAGTGATCGATTTGATACGCGAAAGTCGCCGAGTTTGAAGGATTTGAAGAAACCGAGTGATTGGCATAACTTGCAGGCGATGCTGCACGTTGTGGCGGGGTGGAATGGGGCGAGTGGGGAGTTTCAGATGAAGGTGAAGAGGAGCCTGGCTTTGGTGAATAAGTCATATGAGTTTTTGACGGAGGAGTATCGTATACCAGGCTCATGGTGGGTTGAGAAAAATAAGGGAATGGTGCGTAGGGACAATGGGGAGTGGGTTTTGGATGCACCTCAGGAAGAGGACTTGCCTGTGCCGGAACAAGTTTGATTGGATAATGAAAAAAAGAAAGCCATGTATTATTGTTATCCTTGTCAATATTTTATTTTCTTATTATATATGTTTCATTACTTTTTTGTGAGTTGTTTCAACACTTATCCCATCTAACCTTGGTTGTGGTAGGGTTTTGTTGTTGTTACAAATCCTTGATATTAGGAATAATTTCGGACAAATGCAGTTGATATGGCTGCAACTGAAATTGAAACTACATTTTCCTTTACCCTTTTTTGCTATCATTTTGTGATTAACAGTGTAGTTTTCAGCACATGGTCTATAGCTCATATAATTGTTGACTGCCCTTTAACAACTTTGTTGGCCACTGTTTTGTATACCATGTTTTGCGGATCATGCTAATTTGGTGACTATGTTAATGTTATTATAGTCTTTTTACTTAGTAGGCAGTGTTGTTTAGTTATTGGCACTATGAAAATGTTCTGCTTAAGAATTCCAATTTCGAGTTTTGGGTAGTTTTGGGTGCCGTGTTTTGCTGAGCATGCTAATTTTGTGAATATGTTATAATGGTCTTTTTTTGGTTATTGGCATTGTGAAAATGTTCTTATATATTTTTGTGTTTTTGCCTTTATGACAGGCAATGCAAACACCATTCAGGGGCTACCTTTAGGAAATGCTGGCACTTGTAAATAAAGAAACTAATGATATATAAGATGAATTAATTAATAATGATGAAAAAATGGTTTTATATAATAAAAAGGGATAAAAAAACCTGCTATTACAGAGATTAAAGCCTGCTAAAAAGTAGTTTTGATAAAAAAAATAATTTACTTCAATCACGTTCAACATTTTACATCGGGTGATAAAAGACCTGATGTAGTTTTGCTTACTTTCTACAACGGTTCAAGAACCGATGTAGAATATCTTACACATTCTACATCATCTGTAACTACATCGGTTTTAAAACCGATGTAGAATAGTCAAAAGAACCGATGTAAAATGTTGTTATTGTAGTAGTGACAACACCCAATAGTCGAGTACCTAAAGCCACTCAACATCTGCCTCCCTTTCGAGGCCTTCACCATTGGGGTTCTATCATTCCTCAATATAGCCCCTACACAACTCCGTCCTAATAGTTAGGCATTCTTGCAAGCATTTCAGTGTGTCTGCAAGAGTTTATGTGTAGAGCCAACCCCTACCATTTTTCAACATTTCTATGAGACCCGATTCAGTGAGGTGTCCAAAGTATTTGATCAGTCATGCGCATGGGGTGTTGCTCCAACCATATATCGCTTACTTCAAGAACTTCAAAAATGATTATTTTAAGATTTTACCAACCTTGAAGGGAACACCTTTTTTATGGACCTAGTTCTCCTGGATGACGAGAATTCTTCTCGAGAGTTCCCCTTTTATGGATTTGAGAACTATTTAGGTATAAGGTTGTTTGTGGAGGATTTTGTTCGTAGGTTCTTTTTATTCGAACTAGCACGATTTCAATTTATGCGTGTTCGTGACATGACAGAATCGAAGACTTTCAGTGAAAAAATAAATCGTACAAACAACAAATAAAGTTAATTGATTAGGGTGTTGTTTCAACACATTAGAAGATCTATGCCCTTTGTTTGAGCACGTCAGAAGATCTATGCTGGTTTTAGCACGTCAGAAGATCTATGCTTGTTTCAGCACATCAGAAGATCTATGCTAATTACACAATCAAATTCATGCATGTAAGAATTAACGTGAATCGAACAGATGACATGTATATTGCTTGCAGAAATCATATCCTTCATTAAATGATAACAGAATTACAATTCGTAAGGATAACGAAGCATGTTCAGATGACTACACTACACTAGACTAGACTATGCTATGCTACGCTATGCTACGCTACTCCCAAAAAAGGAAAAAGAAAGGTGGTCGAGAAATCGTACCGAAAGGGATCTCGTATGCACAATATGCCTTATGCGCAGGCTGCGGAGCGCGTGTGCGGTATTGTGGGTGTGTGATTTCTGACCCTTTGCTACGAGCATGGCTCGTTTAATTTATAGACAAAGATTTGGGAAAGGTAACTGTTTTTGATGTGCCCCGGAAGTGCACAACCGTTCTAAACTTCCACATCGTGGCTTATTCCCGGGCACGTCTTTGGATAACTCTTGGAACTACTCATTAACTTCCCCAAACCATTCTGCAGCCTTTGACACTTATCCCATGATTTACTTCAACCGCTCTCACTACCGCTCTTAAATCGTGTCTCTTTTAAGCTCTTCATTCTGAGAGGTTACGAAGTGTATTCGTGTATGTCCGGTTCCTTGGGATTTCGAGTAACCAACGAAAAATATACTTGAGTGTTTCCTGATTTTCCTTGTACTTTGAGAGGTTGCGAGGCTGTGAGCCTTTCTCCTGAGCAGCATCCTTCCCGGTTCAAGGATTTCAAGAGTTTCACGAAAAATGTCTTCGCGTATCTCTTGATTCTCTTCAGGCTTCAGAAATTTATTTGCAATTTTTCGATCACCTAAGATTTCGAGCACCCCTGTATTTCGAGTATCTCCAAATTCATTTTCTGGTACTAACAAATGCCCCCTGGAAAACACTTGTTTCGAGGTAACTGAGAAAGAATGTTTTCCAATGTCTCAATTTTCTTTCTCTGATAAGACCCTAGAGCCATGTGCTCTTCGCGAAAATTAAATGCCCCTGACATTTTTAATTCCAGATTTCTCCTTTTCGTACCTGCTACAATAAATTTGGCAGCACTGATTCCGCTTCCCTGGGATATGTTGACGCAATTTCAAATTTTGTCCGTTAGTGAATATTTTTGGTTACCAAAAAAATTGAATTCCCCCTTTTTTGAATTTCACAGCGGGCTTTTACTGCACTTTGGTCCATTTTGCTCTTTTATATAACCTTTCACCTTGTCCTTCTGAGTACTTTTTACTGTTTCTTCGCACCCATCTCATTTTTACCTTCGACTTCTTCATCTTCGTCTCGTTCCCATGGCAACTTTCTCTGCATCCGCATCTACGGCTACCCCTGTGGCTTCGACGGTTTCTCCTACTCCTTCTGCTCCTTTGCTGACGGAGAATGCCACTATTTCCACCTTGAGCGAAGGGGCTAATCCATTCGTTCCTATCCCTGGTGGAGGAAGCCAGCCTCAAAATCTTTCAATCACAGGTACTTCTTCCTTTTTCCCTTTCTAACGGATAAGTGCATGCTTTTCTAGGCCCTTATTCGAATCCGAGCAAGAAGAAGACTCACAATGATTTGCTTCCGGAAGATGATTCCACTCTTCCTTTCATTTAGAGCAAGAAGATGTTTCGGGCTTTTCCTCCTCCTAAGGATAAACACATTCAATGGTTGGAACGCGTTGAGGCCTCGAAGCAATCTATCTGGAAGGAAGCTGGAATATTCAATTTTGTTCAATTATCGAAGTACGATTTGAACGTCTTCGATCCCCAGATGTTGCTATCAGCTGTTTTCTTTTGGAACTGGGAGACTCGTTCTTTCGAATTCCCTTGTGGTTTTGTCTGTCCGATTCTCTTGGATATCGCGGCCATTACGGGGTTGAAACCCTTAGGGGACCATTATCTCCCTGACACTCTCGAAGAAGAGATCCTAATGACAGAAACTTTTATCGTCTGTGACAAAAAGACGTATTCTGCCTTCGTCAATGCACATCATGGCGAAGAAGGTACTCCTATCACTGACTCTGAGCACATTGCCTTCTTGCTCTATTGGCTATCAGCTTGTGTCTTTTGTACCCCTTCTCTGCAAGTTCCCAAGTACTACTACACACTCGCCCAGGCTTTGCATCTGAAGAAAAAGATTTGCTTGAGCAAGTTGTTACTTGCCTCTTTTTATAACTGTCTCGATGAAGCCTCGAAAAGTTTATTTCGAGAAACTGGCCCTCGAAATCTCACGGGGCCACTTTGGCTTTTGCAATTATGGCTTAATTCCATTTTCGAGAAGAAACTAAAACTTCTTCCTCTTCAAGCCTCTATTCAATATTCTCTCGAAGGCGCTCACTTGACTGCTTTGACTCCCAAGAAAAGATCTGTTGATGGTTTTGCGCGTTATGTCCAGGCAATTCTAGAATTCGAGGAGTTCTCGAATGATTTGGCTCCTTTCATCCGTTCTAATTTGGCAGAGCCTTCCTGGTTAATTGGCAACCATTAGGTAGGACAAATTTTCCAGGAGATGGTCGAAATCTGGATGGGATTCCTATCTTGAGATCTCATCTTTACTGGCATGAAAGAAAGGGATGTGAGAGTTTATCCCTATCAACCTCAACTCTTTGCCCGTCAATTCAGGCTTTGTCAGATTAGACCGACACCTCTTCATCCAAAGGATCAAATTGATTCGGATATTTGTGTAGAAGACGTGGATTACGAAGGTTTTTTGAAGTTCATCTTGACGCCTTCTACCCTATTGAACCTTACTCCTTATTCTTTTCTTCCTGCATTTTTGGTGTCCAAGTGCTACCTTCGATGGTGGTGTGGTTATTACACCGACAAGATGTTTACTTTCGAGGACTTTTCTTGGAAACTTAAGAATTCTCCCTTTTCTCTGCAGGCCTGAAGATTTCAATTTATCTTACCTAACAAAGACTGTAACTCCTTCTTATTTGAAGGAGGCATAGTTTGCATGATTGCCCGAGTCTTGTTCTTATCTACTTCAATGCCTTTCTGGTGTACGACGAACCCTAGGAAATCCCCCGCTGAAACACCGAAAGCACATTTCAATGGATTCATTTTCAGCCCATGTTTCCTCATTCTCTCGAAAGACAATTTCAGGTGTTGTATGTGATCTACTTTTCGTTTCGATCCAATCACTATGTCATCAATATAAACCTGCATGAATTTTCCGATCAAGTCATGAAAAATTAAGTTCATTGCTCTTTGATATGTTGCACCAGCATTTTTCAAGCCAAAAGGCATTACTACCCATTCGTAAGTTCCCAAGGCACCTGGGCACCTAAAGGCAGTTTTCGACACATCATTTTTAGCAATATAAATCTGGTTGTACCTAGAATATCCATCTAATAAACTTAAAATTTCATTACCTGCAACGGCATCAATCATTGTTTCCGCAATAGGCATGGGATATGCATCCTTAGGCGTGGCTGCATTCAAATCTCGAAAATTGATGCATACCCTCATTTTTCCATTCTTTTTTATAACAGACACAATGTTCGATACCCAATCGGCGTACCTCGAAGTACAAATGAATTTGGCCTTCAGTAGCCTCTCGATCTCTTCTTTGATTTTTTCGATCACCTACGGAGCAAACCTTCGTGGGTTTTGTTTCACTTGTTTCTTCCCCAAAATCATAGGTAACCTATGTTCTACTAAATTTCGATCC